CTGTCAATCACAGATGTTCACCAATAGCCCTTCTGAATACATTAAAGCCCTCTACAAACCTCAAGATTTTATTATATGGTGCAGTGAACTTCCTGATGATTCCCAGCTCAGCAATAAGACGGCCATACTGACCGCAGTTAGTGCAGTGGACTTTTGAATGGAGTCTGCATTTGACAGAGTTTTAATTGACTATAGCCTCTTACTTTCATCCCTTAATGAAGCAAATCTCAAATGACTGCATTTTGGTCACTAATTTCAAATAGAAGCAATACCTGTTATGGGAAGTAACTTCCATTAGAGGTCCTGTGATGACCAAGACATAATCATGACTCAGTGAGCACAAGAAAAAAAATTGAAATTCAGCAGTTGGAAGAAACATTATGACAACACAGACAAAGTGAGCAACCATACTACTGTTGGTGCAATGTTCTGCTGGAAAAAAACAGGATTCTTTTAGATTTGATTTATTTGTAATATGGAAAGTAGCATTAAAATAGTTTGGTCAAATTTATGTAGAACTCAAGTTATATTCTTGTATTGTCAGTTTAGTATTTCAAAGATGGATTATGGAATAAGCCGATTTTGTTAAAGGGAAAAAAATCCCATGCAAACATTATACATAGAAAGTCATAGAAGGTTAGTACAGCATCTTTTTTGTAAAGATTTAGTGGGATTTGTGGGAAATGTGGTTTTAATCCAGAGACATACTTGGCTCAGGGTGGTGTCCTTCTTGATCTCATTTGTTTATAATAATTCTGACCAATTGCAGATGCTAGCAGGACAACAACAAACTGATGTTTAAAAAAAACCACATTCTTCATTCAAGCATTTGAGACGAGAGATATTCAGAGCAGCTGCCGGAGAATGAAATCTTTTAAATTCTGATACCCTGACGGCATCGCTTCCCGTGACAAAGTTTTTGGGAAGGAAAACGGGATTCTAGGAAGTTGGGTGACACCAGAAGGTGCTGAAAAGCCTGCGTCAGCCCCCTCTGACCAGTAGCCCTCCAGTGCTGTTCCTGAGCAACCTGATGACATGAATCTGCAAAGAGTTTACCGGAAAACCGCTGCTGGGGACGCCGCTCAGTTTCCGAAAAACCTCCTCAGCGGCGTCACCCCCGGAACGGCGCGCGGATGAGATGGAGTTCATTGTTTTTGTGTCTGTCTATGCATGCAAGTGGGTGTCGAAGGGTATGTTTGGTTTTGTGGGTTTCTTATGATTACTGAGTCAGGGGAAACTGACGAGATCTCCCGAGAGAAAAAAATGATTAGTCAGAAAATGGAGACGCTTGTGTCTTCGTTTCGTGTGCGTTGCTGTTGTTGTGTTTGTGTGTGCTTGTGTTTCGAAGTGCATATTATCACATGCGTTTTTATTGGAGATTGTATACAAAGGCATGTGTGTGTTCCGATAGCCTGTGCCTGTGTTTACGTGTTGGATGCTCGTTTGTATGACTTAGAGTCTGTGCGGGTGTTGGTGTTGCATGCCAGTTGTTGAAGAGTAATGAACCTAACTATTAGGACTCAATCTCATCCTTGAAATCCACCATGTCAATTTTCAGAAATTAATTAAAAAAGAAATGTACAATTGTTTTCTGTTGTATAAAAAACACCAGTATGCTCTCAGTAAAAACATATTCAAATCTGCTAGTCATTGTATTTTCACAGGATCCATAAGATAACCAAAACTGAAAGAAGGGGATGATGAGTTCATGGAAAAACGCCAACAATTCCCACTCATTCCATAGATATGTGGCCAATGAAAATGTGTCTTACTTACATTTTTGTTGTAAGTAAAGGCTTGGAGTACCTGTTTTTTTATTTATTTACCTACTTCAAAAAAAAAGAGTATATATTATCTTCATGGTCTCCTACTCCTGTAGTTCCCTCCATAGTTATAGGCACCATGGTAACTTGTGATGCCCAATGGTTTTTAGTGAAATGCAATAGTATTCCAGTGTAATTTAGCCTCATTTTGACAATACTGCCACCCACAAACCTTAAGAATTCAGTTTACCCATGTAGATAAAACTACCCATTTGAAGGTTAAGAGACGATCCAGGGGGAAAATGTCCATCACCTGACTACCACCAATTTTCCACCTTGTGTAAACAAGTCCGCTTGACATTGTTTGATTTCGATTAACCTCCCCTTCCGCCTGTGCACATCCGGGCAAAGCTTATTTTTGCTTCAGCAAATTTTAAATCGGCAGACTTGTGCTAGCATTTCAATACCAAACCAGAACTTGACTTTGGATGCTATAAAGCAAGGAAGAATGGCTCAAATTTGGAGTAATACAACAGTCAAAGGTTAAGATAAGAAAATATAAATAAATGGTCTTTTATACGTCAAAGACAATAAAACTGGAGAGTACAAACATGACTACAGACATCGTTTCTTAATGCAGTCACCAACAGGAGACACATTAAACCCCATGAATACCACTGACTAGGCCAGAAGGATATTACCACTAAATATCGACAGTGTTCTCTACACTTGAAGCCTTCAGATGCTTGTTAACTTTAAATCGTGGGCGTCCTTTTTCTTCTAAACTGTAGGTATCTTTGGAACAAGGGCTGCTGTGTGAAACTGCAGAGATAATATTTGAAACTTTATCGAACCTATCGGGGAAATTGGATCGCAGATAAACAAGCCTCACCTCAGCTCTGGCGAATGGAAGGCAGGCCTTTCGTTTCGATACGCGTAGCTCGGTCCGTGGGATATCCCCCCTCCTCCAGAAGGTGGTGGGCGATGTTCTCCCCCGGTCAGAAAAGTGCTGTGAAACCCCAACGCCGTGGTGCTGACATAGTGGAACTGGCTCTGTCAATGGGTGACTCGAGAAGTTTCCCTGATAGTAATAATAAGATCGAACAAACAGGAAAGAGCGATACAGTGCGCAAAAGTGAAAGATGCTTAGTCAAAGGATGGGGGCGCACCGAGAGCTCTGGCTGGGTGATGAGGTAATGGATTGATACTGCCTTCTCAAACAGAGACTTTTTATTCTGTGTGGAATCATTCAATACGTGAAAGGTGGAATTTGTTTTCTCACTTCTTTTCTGTCAAATGTCAGGCCGCACAGCTGACTGCTCTTCCGATTAGTTTAGAAGGAACTCCATTCAATTAGAAAGAATCAACCCCTCACATGTGGACTGCTACTCTGAGTGTGGGTAATTTCAAAATGTGTGCAGTTATTTGACGTACCTGACGGATCGCGTGTTTGTGGTGTTTTTTGTATGAGCGAAAAGTTCATGAATCAAAGAGTAGACTTGCAAAAACTTTGGAAAATGGCCATATTCATCACTGTACCATCCCAGAACTGAGCTGCTGGATCTTTGGGAGATGAACATTTTGTCTTATTAATGATTCTAGCTGCTAAACAATCCTGCCTCTCTTTTGTTATCTACTGTATCTCAAATTTGTTTTCAGTTGAAGAAGAGTAAGTACTGCAGGCAGGTCAGTCCAGGACCTACATTCTCTAACAGCTCAACAACAAATGTGTATCTGCTTCTTCAGAAAATATATCATCTGGTGAGAATTGCTTTACAAAAAACGTACAAATTTGTCATCAAGAACGGAGGCTTTTAAGTACACGTTGTTGGTTCCACAGGCGCTTATGCAACCCATACGATCAGAGATGCAGGCTTTCAAACTGAGCCCTGATTAGAAGCCAGATGGCTTGTTTCATCTTTAGTCAGAGGGATACATTCATCCATCTTTTTTTTTCTATACCGTTTATTGTGAGCAGGGTCACAAGGCCACACAGATACGAACGAGATAGACAACCGTGCTCGCACTCAGCCCTAAGGGGCAATTTAAAGTCTGCAGTTAACCTGACGTGCATTTTTGTGGACTGTGTACCCTGAAAGAATCCACATATGCACAAGGAGAACATGCAAACATGCCCCTGTCCGGAATAGGAACTTGAATGACACAATGTCAATGATATCCAAAGAGAATCTTAAATCCAAACAGTTACAGAACAGTTTAGCATCCTCTCAGGGTTCCCCTTGTGCTCAGGAAGGGGGTAATTACCCAAAAAGCATCCTACCTCAAGGAATTATCGATCTACTACGTTTGTCTTGAGTGAATAGCTACTCTCGAATTGCTTTCAATCGCAATCCTACTTGTTTTTGACACTAACCGTTGAACTGAGGATTTGAACCTTGGGACTGGATGGCTGTTTTTGGTAGGTGTAACAACTGAATGCCCACATTTGACTAAGAGTGTGAGGCTGAAGCTCTAAAATGAGTCACGTTGACTGCCTGTCTCCTGCACTGCTGGAGAAAAGACAGACCACGGTTTCTGCAGCCTAAAGGGCCACAGGAACTGCGCTCTCATTTCCTGCTACAGTCTTAAACTTTGGTATTGCTTGCAAATAGACATAAAGATTCATGACTTTCCCCCCCGAAGAGACCGGTTAGCAACAGGCTCCGTGTTAAAGTCAAGAATATGAGCTGATGCATTAAAAGTATAAAAGGAATGTCTTATCTAAAGCTATCACTATCACCTAAAATGACTACGTCTTTTGTTGCAAACAGCTATTGGGATGTCTGACTGTTTACTTCTCTTGTTTAATAGATTTGTCTTATAATATGTTTTGCCTTGTATACACATAGGTGTTTTTAGTTAATCACAAATGAGAAAACCACACCTCGGGTTGAGGCTGGAAATCTACATAGAAAGGTAAGTGGGGAGCCTCAGTGTCGTATCACTACGTACACATTTTAAAAGACGTCCCTTTTTGATACAATTCGATTTCATAATGAGTCATTGTTCGTTTTTTATTTGCATGCCGCACACAGATTTGAATCAAAGATGGGATTCTAAAAGATTTAGTTTCACATCAGGTGCATTCAGGTAAAGAAGTCAGCTACACTAAATGGACTGTGGAAAAGTCAGCATGACTTATTGTTTAGGCTGTAATGCTTTATGACTATTAGCCTGTAACATGTGGTTTTATATACTAAGGGAGGGTCGATAAGAACGATACAGAGACAGGGGGTTCAGATTAGAGCAGACAACTTTTATATCATAATTTACACTTTTCAACATTTAAACATAAATTACTATGTAAACCAGAATGTAAACAGAGACAGTATCAGGGGATTCTCCTCTGACCACAGAAAGAGGGTCGACACAGAGGACAGAGTTAGACCTTCAGATTTCAGATTGTTGATGTTCAGCTGCTACAGAAAATCAGAAATGTTGTAGTAACATTAAGCTGGGTCTTAATGCTATTTTGACCGGTTTTATATATACTGTGCACAGTGTAAATGGAACAAGCATCGGCACTGAAGACGAAAAAAACGAAGGGGCCAGTGCATAAAAAAGGGCCGAGGTGCTTGGGTGTTCCTTAAAAAGGCATCAGACGGGTAAAGAGGAAAAAGGGGCCATTGTTTCTTAACAAAAATATTAACAGAGAAATAATAACAAAATGAAAAATTTAAATATACAAAAAACAAGACCACAGCTAAAGAACAAACACTTCATCTTATACACAACATCTTCCCTTCTTTGGTGTTTTGATTTCTCAAGTCCTTCTTCCCTTTTTTTAAGGTTATTCCCTTCTTTAGGTGTGCGTTTAAAAAAAAAATCCAAGTGAACTTTGGTTTCTAGCATCTAGCGTGGTGAATCCCTAAATCTATCCACAACTCTGTTAAGGACAAACAGCGATGTGAAAAAATAAAATAGGAGTAAATGAAGAAGAGGGGAACATGGGTGGGGGACTCACCAGCCTCCCAATTCCATTATGTGCTACATGTAGAGCGGACATCCACTCTTTTGGACCTCATGAAGAGCTGCTCTCCAGTTTTGTTTGGTTTTGCCTTCTTCAAGTAGCGAAAGATTCAAATAAATAGAAAACTCCCACCTTCGGTTGTCCCTTTTAACACACATACACTCATATCACATCCACACTGAGGTAACTGTTGTGAAAAATATACAAAAAATGCCCTTTTTGTTTCAATTAAATTAAAGAGATATCAAAAAAGGACACAAACATGCTTTAGGGAAGCTATTCAGAGGGCTGCATAAAAGCCCTTGAAATGAACAAATGTATGAGCCATTCTTTGGCTTTTTCTACTATCTTAACCTGCTACTTTGGTTCTTATATTCAAATAAGTAAAACCCTGAAAAGTGGACATCTGTGCATCTGTAGGTCAGAAGTCACAAGATAAATGTGGGCTTGAAAAAGAGTGACTATCTACAAAGAAATGGCCACTGTGAAAGAAGTACATATCAACAGAAAAACTTTTTTTTTTATATTTTCAACTCAGTGTATTCATCCCTTCGGCTTATTGCTCTTCTCAGACAACAAATAAAAAGCTTAATAAATTAGGTTATACAATAGCTAACTGATCAAAAAAACACAGACATTTGGAAAGATAAAAAACAGACAATATATATAATAGAATTATATTAATTACATTTAAGGTAAATCCTTGTAAGATGATTGTCTAAGAATAATAAAAGCTGAAATCACTAAGTAGTCATGGGACAGTCTCTCTTACAGCCCTGAGTATGAGTCCCTGATAGGTTGTAAACCTGGTAAGGTCTTGATGTCACTCCTGATGACAACCAGACTGATAATAATTTATTTACAGGTGTTGCTCCTGGCAACAAGTCCACCACGAAGGCTCAAATTAGTCTCTTGCACATAAGTTACTTTAAGCATTTTCCTCTGACTCCTGCTTGACCGTAATGTTTGCAGGGAGCGGTGGGATGGGGCTGCTGTGCCGGATCTTGATGACCGACGTTTCATTCTGTGGTTCGTATGGGCCATAACCTGCAGACAGGAGTTCGGTGGCACTACCCTGATGGAGGGGGTGGAAATGTGGGGACTTAAGGTCAGTCTCCCTCCACAGTATGCCCAAGACTTGCTTCTCCAGCATGGAGTCCATCTCCACTCCCCCCTGCAGCTGCTCCAAGCGCTCGGCATGCTCGCTGATGTCAAAGCGCTCGATCTCCTCGTTGGCACGGTGCACCTCCTCCAAGGCTGCCTGGCTAGGCACAGACGGACTCCCAGAGCTGGGGTTTGCCGCGAGGCAATACCCCTTCAAGTGAAGACGCAGGCTACACAGATGGATATAGTGGCGGTGGCAGTGGGGGCATTTGTGTGGCCGCTCACGGGAGTGCAACCGCTTGTGCAGCTTCAGGTGGACGAACTGGGTAAACTTGGCTGGGCAGAGTTTACAGTGGTAGGGCTTCTCCCCGGAGTGGAGGCGCAGGTGAGTTTTCAGGTTGCTGGTACTGCTGAAGCGCTTGTGACAAACCTGAGAAAAAATAGTAGAAACCAAATCAGTTACGCGTGGCGCTTGTAGAAAACCACAACCTCAGTATCAATAGTTGTCAATGGAACAAGTTGAGAACTGTTTCCCACCTGGCATTCGTGCGGCTTCTCTCCAGTGTGGACCAGGTAGTGTTTTTGCAGGTGAGCCAGTTGAGTGAAGCCTTTGTTACAGGTTTGACATTTGAAGGGTCTTTCTCCACTGTGCACGCGAAGGTGAACCTGCATGACAAAAAACAAACAAAACAAGACGAGACGATTAAGCCTACTACCAATCCTTACAGATCACAGGATTGACAACAAGGTACTAATTCAGTTCAGTGTTCACAGTGTTAAGAAAGACATAACGCTTCTCAAGTCTCACCTTCAGGTTTGAAAGCTGCCCAAAGGTCTTGCTGCAGACATTGCATTCGTACTTGATTTTGCCGTTCTGCTTCTTGAGAGGGTAAGGCAGAGCCTTGTAGCCCGCTGAGCCGGTACCACGCTTCACTTTGCTTAGGTTGATAGCCTCTTCATCAGGATGATGCTCACTGCTGTTGCCCAGCATAGCGGAGGTAGGCTTAGTGGGCACCTGTTCGCTGGGAGGTGCTGTGCCGGCAGTTGGGGAGCCACTTGAGGGAGCATGGGCAGGGCCGTGCGGGTTAGATTGCCCGTGGTAAGGGTTGTGAGGCCCCGCTTTGTCTCTCAGAGAAGTAGCAGCTGAGAAGGCACTGGTGGGCCCAGGGAGGAGGATCTCTCTGTGGGCAGAGATGGAGGAGGGATGCACGGGTTCTGGCATTAAGAAGCGCCTTGCTGCTGTGTCAGAAGGGATAAGAGGGACATGAAGAGGCAAAAGGCCACTGTAAGGGGTATACATTCTAGGAAAGATCCCTCCTACAGTTGGGACCCCACCACCGGGCAGGGGATAGTGATGGGGTAGTAGGTAACGTGAGTATGGGCTCCCCGGAGGGTAGAAGGGCGAGGAAAGGGGGGCGGATGGCGGGGAGTAACCAGGGTAGGAACCCAGTCCAGAGGAGTAGAAGGAAGCTGGTGATAGTACTGGGCCAGATGGGCTTCCCTGAGGGCTGCTGTCTGGGCTGCTCCTTGCGGATGGACTTGGCGTGGCTGAAGACTGGTTGCCAGGGGAATGAGTGGAGGGATAACTGAGCCGGCCCGGTTTGTGACTGAGGAACTCTTCGGGGATGTGGGGCCTGAGAGTCGGGTAGAGGGGACGGGGGTACAGGAGACGGTCCGGGCTGTCAGCACAGCGCGGACGAGTTGGAAATGGACGGCTGGGCTCCCTCTTGGCTGATGATGAGGCCGAGGTACTGTTGGTGCCACTAAGAATGGAGAGGACGCTGTGCTCTCTCTTGGGCTGGGTAGGGGTCACGGTGGCTGGAGATGGGCTAGACGTTTCCATCACGCACTCCTCGCCGCCCACCTGCTGTCGCTTCACCTCCAAAAGGGACTGCTCTGAAAACACACATAAAAGAAACGAATTCAGCAGGAGTCCATAAAAGCCATAGAAATCTGGGCATTTAAATAAGCGATAATTGCCTAAGTAATGTTATCAAGAGAAAAGGTGCATGGGTGTCTCAGTGCTAAGAAACACTCTAAGTAACTTGGTGGACCAATCAGGGTGACAGAATTGACGTATGAGGTTAGGGGGCCAGAGCAGAGAGGGGCCAAAAGACAGGAAGTAAGGCGTGACATCTGCCTTTGGGCATTGTGTAAGGCGCATGTGGTGTGAGTGTGTATCCATAAAATCAAGATAAAATCAGAATGGTGGCAGGCAGACAGACAAGGCTGATGGAGGGTTTCCTGCTAAAGATATCCTCAGAAAAAGATTGGCCTCTACCTGCCCTCTGCAAACACACACAAACACACCCGCACCATGTGACAAAGTACACAGATGAAGGCGCCTACAGACAAAGGTCTCTGTCTGATTTGTTGACTCTCCCACTTTTGGACATCTGACACACTCTTCTGATCAGGCCCCTGCTTCTCGAGTATTTTCTGGCCATTTGCTATTGTTTCCAGGTTGAAGGTTAAATTAGAGAGCTTCCTCCACAGTCACTCACACCTACTGTCTCCTCTCCATGATGAAAGAGTGGATTAGGGGGGAAAACTCCTTCACACACATTCTAAAAGCCCCGGGATGTCAGTTAGCAGAACATCTAGGCTTTTAAATAACCACTGACCGGCCTTGAAATGCAGCCCCCTATTATATATAAGCTCATTTAGTGCCCAGGCAACTTTTTACCATGAGGTCACCCAGAGGGGAGTGTGTGCGTCGGTGTGCATAGGTGCATGTGTGTGTGAGAGAGATGGAGGTTGTCAAAGTTAATCCTAAGTACCAGCGCTGGTGAAATTTCCTTCAGTCCCCCTGATTCACCCCCTCACTCACACACACACACACACACACACACGCACAGCCTGTGACCCTTTCGTCAGTAGTATAGTGGCAGTGTGTAAACACTGAGGTTATCAGTTAGTCTTCCTCCTCCTCCTCTTCCTCCTCCCTCCATCCCTCTTCCAGAAAACAAACAGGGCAGCCATATTGGAGATATCAATCTGTCAACACGGCCCTTCTGCCAGGAAGTTCAAGTAGTCAGCCGAAGGGGGGTAGGAGACACAGCTCTACCTCCACTACCTCCTCCTCCTCCACCTTCTTTCTGGTCTCTTTAAGTGGCAAATATATCAGTCAGATTGGCC